CCTGAGCCCCCGATTTTCGCAGGCAGCCCCATCAGATGCTGAAATGGGATCCTGGCTCAGCCAGACTGCCCCTTGGACTCTAGGAGGAGAGAAACGCTGAGGCAAATAACACTGCTGTAGAAACACGCAACGGGTTAAATCCTTGTTCTTCACTACCCCAGTCACAGACACCAGGTCCCGGGGGCTCCCTGCTGGCTCCGAGCCCCCGCTGGGATTCCCAGGGCTGCTGTATAAACACCCCTGTCCCTCCGCCCTGCGCAGTGCGGCTTCCCCATCCCTTCAGCTCCCTGTGTCCAGCCAGCGATCGCTCATCACCAGGAGCCTGGTGAGTCCTGGGAATGAGACCATGGGGCAGCTACCAGGCCTGCAAGTAGAGCGAAGCGCGAGACACTGGTTCTAGGCTGCGAGACGCCACTCGCCCTGACCGGCGTGCAGATAGCATGGTGTCACTGTCTGGGACGCACAGCCGTGCCCTGAGCTGACAGACGCTCTGTCTGGGACGTTCCCCTGCTCTGGTAAGCGCCCCGGCTGGGGCCTCTGGTTTTGTGTCAGGGGACCCAGCTGCTCAGGTGTTAACCGGGCGATTCCTCTGCGCGGAGTGAGTCTGTCTGCGAGGTCCTAACTCTGCACGCCATCATGCATGGCAGAAATGCCGGTTGGCCTGAGCCAGAACACGGGGGGAAGGCTTGTAGTGAATTCTGCTGCTTAGGAGTACGTTTTGTACGGCAGAAGGGCCCAACTGGAGATCAGGGCCCCGTTGCACTAAAACCAGGGGTGGAGAACGTCAGGCCCAGAGGCTGAATGCGGACCCGGCTTGCCTGGATCTGCACCTAGCGCTCAGGGCTCCCCCTCAGGGCTGTAGAGCTCTCCAGCCCCTGCCACTCCCCCATAGGGCTGGAGCACACAAAATCTAGTAGCCTGAGCCCCCCGAGGCTCTGGTGTGTGAGGGGAATGTGGGGAGCGTCTTTCTGCTCCTCAGGCGGGGGCCACGTTGGCAAGGGTTTGTCTTCTTTATTTTGCTCCTCATTTGTGCATGGCCCCCGACGGATTTTTCTGTGGGGCTGTGTCCCCCGACCCCCAAAAGGTTCCTCACCCCCTGAACGCACACGCACGAAAAAGCCAGTCCCCCCTCAGAGAGCTGGGTGTCAGGGTGGGACCCCACAAAAACAGCAAACACCCCCTGGTCACGGGGGTTTGCGTCCCACACCGGGGCTGGGAGCGTCTCGATGTCTCCTCGTTAGGGACTAGAAAGAGAAATTCTAACGAATCGGCAGGTCCCTGCGATGGAGCATCTGCCCCGCGCTGGCCCTACCAGGGTTAAATCCAGTCAAGGGAGGCCGAGCGACAGGCAGCCCCGGGTGAGGCTGCAGTTAATTCAGACCCAGCTGAGGGCTGTATAAACAGGAGGCCTGGGAAGCTGGAGGCTGCTTGAGACACAGCAGGGCTGGGGAAAGGCAGGCAGAGCCGGGGAGCTCTGGCCAGGCAAACTCCCAGGCTGCAGGGTGTGAGACAAGGCCTGAGGATACTAAGGGCTGCAGGGAGGCAGCCAGGGCAGGGGATGACAGCAGATCCACACCCCTGTCCAGTGAGGAGTGGCCGTGTCAGGCTGCAGTTAGCCCCTGAGGCAGGGGGTCACTGAGGCAAGGTGGGCCTAGGGGGTTGGAGGTTCCCTGAGGGGGAGGACCCCAGAGCGTGGGGCACCGCAGCAGGCCACAACTCAAAGAGCAGGGTGCCTCAGTCTGGGAGGGACGTGGGTCCTGATACAAGGTGGAAAAGGAGGTGAAACACCAGCCAGCAGGGGGCGCTCCAGCACTGAGCAGAGCTAATTCCCGGAGTCTCCAGCAGGCGGCGCTGTGGTGGGGGGTCATGCTGCATGACAGCCCCCTTGAACATCGGGATCCGATGCTGGGCGCTAGGGAGTCGATATACGTAAATCTGTCGGCACGGTTCAAAGGAAGGAAAGTGGGTTTCTCCTTCTCCGACACGTTTCACCTCGTGGCTGACCCTCGTCTGCCTGGCCCTGTGCGTCATCGTGCACCCGTGTGCAACACGACTGGGACTCCACCAGACCAGGGGGCAGGGCCACACACCACGACCCAACGGAGGCCTCTTACCCTCTTATTTGCAAACCACATTCAAGAGGGTGCGATGCTGTGACGCCCTCGCGCGGGTGGGACAGAAAGAAATGGAGGCAAGGAGGTCTGGGCACAGCACAGCAGCCAGCGGGACGCCCAGGGTGAAACCGTGCGTTGGAGCAAGCCGCTGGTGGGTAGGTGTTGCAGATGTGAAGGTTTCCTGCATTTTCCTGTGAATATTTATCCCCCCGAAATACAACCGGGAAGGGCATTATCACACCCGTAGGTAATAGAGCAGACGGGCTTCTACGTGGCTGGGGGGAAATGGGAATTTTCTGTAATGTTTTTATGACGCCGAGGCGTGCCTCAGTTTCCCCCCTCTTTTGCACCACTAGCCAGGGGAGTGGGGGAGGTCTGTTTGCTCTCAGGTGAAGAGACATACAAAGGAACATGGCCCGGCTCTCAGAGCACAAATGAGGGAGATCTTGCCCATGGAGAATCGAAGTAAACAATGGCCAAGCCAGTCACCAGGATGTGGACAGAGAGCCGGCCCAGTGCGGCTCCCTGCTGCTGGGTGGGTGCCACTCGCAAATGCTGGGCGGGGAGCAGGAATCCCTGTAGCATGGACCGGCCTCTCCCAGGTCGTGCTGGGCAGAGCTCACAGTGTGAAGCAGGGGGGCTGAACCCCAGATTCTCGGCCTCGGAGGCGCTGAGGCCTCCTGGTCTATCCGGAGAGGGAGCAAGGCCCCGTGGGGTGTGGAGGGGTTTCTCCAAGGCACGGTCCCAAAGCTGGGGACCGTATGGGGCTGTGAGAACGGCCAAGCGCATGGCCCAGTGAATAGCTGAGGGAACCGGCTCCTGGCCAAACCCTACCTGACAACAGGGGGAGGGATAGCTCAGTGGTTTGAGCATTGGCCTGCTAAATCTGGGGTTGTGAGTTCAATCCTTGTGAAGGCCATTTCGAGCAAAAATTTGTCAGGGATGGTACTTGGTCCTGCTGTGAAGGCAGGGGACTGGACTCAATGACCTTCCCTTCCAGTTCCAGAAGATAGGCAGTCTCCATTATTTTTTTTTAAATCCTTCTTCCAAATTGCTCAGGGTCTGTCTGCGAATTGAATCACAGAACCCCAGAGCTGGCAGAGACCTCAGGAGTCATCGAGTGCAGCCCCCTGCCGAAGGCAGGAACAACCCAACTTATTCATCCCAGCCAGGGCTTGGTCAAGCTGGGACTTAAACACCTCTAGGGATGGAGATTCCACCCCCTCCCTAGGAAACCCATCCCAGTGCTTCCCCACCTTCCGAGGGAAATAGTTTTTCCTAATATCCAACCTAGAGCCCCCATGCAACTTGAGACCATCTCAAAAAAGGTATCTTGGCATTGGAAAAGGTTCAGAAAAGGGCAACAAAAATGATGAGGGGTTTGGAACAGCTGCCTTATGAAGAGAGATTAAGAAGACTGGGACTTTTCAACTTAGAAAAGAGCAGACTAAGGGGGAGATATGATAGGGGTCTATAAAATCATGAAGGACATTGAGAAAATGAACAAGGAAACGTTATTTACTTGTTCCCATAGCATAAGAGTCAGGGGTCACCAAATGAAATGAGCAGGTAGCAGGTTTAAAACAAACAAAAAGAAATGTTTCTTCATGTAGCGCACAGTTAATCTGTGGAACTCCTTGCCAGAGGATGTTGTGAAGATCAGGACTTGAACAGGGTTCAAAAAAGAGCTGGATAAATTCGTGGAGGTTGGGTCCATCAATACATATTAGGTAGGAATGGTGTCCCTAGCTTCTGTTTGTCAGGGGCTGAAAATGGGTGACAGGGGAGGGATCACTTGATGGTTCCCTGTTCTGTTCTCTCCCTCTGGGGCACCTGGCATTGGCCACTATGGGCAGACAGGACACTGGGCTGCATGGACCGTTGGTCTGACCCAGTCTGGCCATTCTTATGTTCATTGCTCATCTGCCACCCCTGAGAACAGCCTCTCTCCATCCTCTTTGGAACCCCCCTTCAGGGAGTTGCAGGCTGCTATCAAATCCCCCCTCACTCTTCTCTTCTGCAGACTAAACAAGCCCAAATCCCTCAGCCTCTCCTGGTCAATCACGTGCTCCAGACCCCGGACACCCTGAGAACCCCAGCGCACCCCAGCGGGGAGGAGGATAGGGGACTTGCTAATGAATATTCCTGGCTCCATGTACAGCAAGTGGCTTGTGCTCCTCTTTGCTTCTCTTCTCTCACAGGCCAGGGGCCCTACGCGGTGGCAACAGGCCTGCACCGTACCATGTCGGCGCTCAATTCCACCAGCTCCCACCCCGCCACGTTCGTCCTGGTGGGCATCCCGGGCCTGGAGCAGGCTCACGGCTGGATCTCCATCCCCTTCTGTCTGATGTATGTCGTGGCGCTTCTCGGGAACTCCGTCCTCCTCATCACCATCCTGACAGAGCCCCGCCTCCACGAGCCCATGTACATTTTCCTCGCCATGTTAACCGTGGCCGACCTGCTGCTCTCCACCTCCACGGTGCCGAAAGCCCTGAGCGTCTTCTGGTCTCTCTCTAAGGAGATCTCTTTCCAGGCCTGCCTCGCCCAGATGTTTTTCATCGACTTCGTCTTTTTTACCGAGTCGGCCCTCCTGCTGGCCATGGCCTTCGACCGGTACGTGGCCATCTGCGACCCCCTGCGGTATGCCACTATACTGACGCACTCCGTCATCAGGAAGATAGCCGTGGCGGCCGTCACCAGGAGCTTTGGCATCATGGTCCCCACCTTCTTCCTCCTGACGCGGCTTCACTACTGCGGCCACAACGTTATGCCTCACACCTACTGCGAGCACATCGGCGTGGCCAAGCTGGCCTGCGTGGACATCACCGTCAACGTTTGGTACGGGGTCACGGCCAGCCTCCTGTCAGCAGGGTTAGACGCTGTCTTCATCGGCGTCTCCTACACCCGCATCCTCTGCTCTCTCTTTAGCCGGCCGGCCCGAGGCGTCCAGCTCAAGGCCCTGAACACGTGCGGCTCCCACGTGTGCGTCATCTTGATGTTTTACACCCCGGCCTTCTTCTCCTGGTTCACCCTGCGGTTTGGCCACGGCATCCCCCGCAGCACCCTCGTCCTCCTGGCCAACCTCTATGTCGTCGTCCCCCCCATGCTCAACCCCATCGTGTACGGGGTGAGGAGCAAGCAGGTCTGGGAAGGAGCCGCCCGCGCCTTCTCCCAGCTGAGCGGCAAGCCGGGTTGGCGATGGAGCTGGGGCGAGGGGACGTCGGGTGGACGCAGGGCTGGAACCGGCGGGCTCCGGATTCCTGGAACGGGTCGTTTCATGGGAGCGTTCCCCGCCCTGCCCTAAGCCGACCTGCTCGTCCGTCGAAGTCCTTTACCAATTGAAAATTGCCCCTCTGCTACGCCCCTCCTCCCCCAGCAGCTCGGCTAGGTCGCTGACGGGCGCCCGAGACATCTCTAGGAAGGGGTCAAGTGCAGAACAGGCTACCCGCGGTGGGGAAAGACCATTCGCCCCGGCGGGTATGTTTTGTGATGCTGCCTTGGACTGATTGATCTGCCTGACTCAGAACAGCCCCTCATTTGGGTCCCCCGTATTCTGGGGGGTCGCCTAGCCACCAGGCTATGGACTACCCTGCAGTGGGGCTTGTGACAGGCCGGCAGCGGTGCCTGCCTCAGTTTCCCCTGTAGCGGCCGAGGCAAAGGGATATTGTCTCTCTCGGGTATGTTTTGTGATGCTGCCTTGGACTGATTGATCTGCCTGACTCAGAACAGCCCCTCATTTGGGTCCCCCGTATTCTGGGGGGTCGCCTAGCCACCAGGCTATGGACTACCCTGCAGTGGGGCTTGTGACAGGCCGGCAGCGGTGCCTGCCTCAGTTTCCCCTGTAGCGGCCGAGGCAAAGGGATATTGTCTCTCTCTTCAGCGCGATTCAACCCCCGAGCCATATAAAGCGCCACCGTTCACAGATCCCCTGGAGTAAAGACAGGTCCCCTCAAATCCGCTCATTGAACGAAAGTCCCACACAAGGGTTCCCAGCTGCCTGCCCATGAGCTGGTCACCCCTCTGTCCCGTTCGCCAGCCCCTGTTCCAGGACCCCCCTCTCCCGAGGCACCCCAGACACACATCTCTCCATAGGCCCCAGGCAGGTGTCCTGCCAGGGCCCCTGGCTGGATTCCACCCCCCAGGCCTCCCAACTGGAGTCCTGCCCCTATGCAAGGGACCCCCTCTTTCCTGGGCTCCTCCCAGCTGGGGGTCGGGCCGCCTGCCAGGGGGCTCCCTCCTTCCTGCCCCCTGCTTCTGGGCCTGACCAGACTGGCTCTTCCCCTCGCTACCCTCCCGCCCCCTCAGCTCCGGCCTACGCCCCCAGCTCTCCACTGGCAGCTGTTTCCCTCGGGGAGGCCTCTGCTGCCCATGGGGCCTGCCTCGCTCTCCCTCCTCCAGCCCAGCTGTTCTCAGTTGGGGCAGGGGCTGGGTCACAGGCTCACGGGCCCCTGCGTCCCCCTCATCTAGTGCCCGGATTCCTCTTGGAGCTGGGGCAGCCCCTGGAGCAGAGACAACGACCCAGGCCTGGATGCTTGGTCCCTAGCTCTACGGCCGGAGGAGCATTTAATGCGCGACACCGAGCGGGAGCGCTCCCACGGGCAGACAGAGGCAGCCCGAGCCCCCGCGGTCCAACCGCAGGAAAGGATAATTCCCCTTGGTTCTCCCCTTCCCCGCCCAGGCCCAGGCGGTACCTCAGAGCCGCTCTGCCCAACCTCCGAATGGACTGTGTCAAACCCCTCGGTAAGAAGGACGAGGAGTCCGGTGGCACCGTTTATTTGGGCCTCGGCTTCCCTGGGGG